CTGTGCTGTCCCACTGCAGTGTTGCTGACATTGACGTAAACATTTGATCATCCTCAGGGTGTCGAGGCAGGAGAAAGGAGAGCAGAAACGTGGAGTGAAAGCAGAGTTAGGGATGTAATACGATACATTTAATGCATAACAATGTGGCTTCCCAAAAGCATAAACATCTCAGTCTTCTTTGAAGCCCACAGGTAACAGAGCATACTATCCATAGTTGCAGGATGAAATGATTTTGCTGCTGTAAACAAGTGCTTGCTCACAGCCCTCACAAGGTGTATGAAGTGTCAGAACATCTCCGTGTGAAAAGAAAAGCTACTTGAAGCTCAGAAGACTTCACTATCCTTAAGCTCTGTGCGATTGTGTCAGAAAAGACAAACATCAATGGCAAGAACACGGGTAATTAGGTTAAGAGCTTGAAAAGCAACTGTTTTCGTGCAAATACAAAAGCAGCACCTGGAAATACTACTGCTTAAACAACTCTTGATTGGATTTTTCTTTTGGAAGAATCATGTGCCAAAATACTGTTCCTCCAGTTGTACTGACTTGTCTTGCTCTTTGGCCCAAACTGACCTTCTCACTGTTTTTATAACAATTGGCATAACAAAACAAAAAAACTAGGAGTAATGCTACTGACTGCTCTAACCTTTGTCCTTGTTGTGGGAGCCTGCGGCCAGTCAGGGAGGCTAACTGTTAATATAACTGCCTGACAAGGAAGCTCTGGCTGTTTAGAGAGATAATTGCCTGGACTACAGACACAATAACAGCCTCCCTCTGCAAAGAAATGTTGTACTGCCAGTTCGCAGCCCTTCCATGTTGACTATTTATAGTACACCATAATCATTAATACGCTGTAATTGAAGCATATAAGCAAAGCTGAAATCCACAGCTCTCAGTACACAGAGGCGTCGTGCTCTCACAGGGGGAAAAAAAAAGTCAAATAAAGATGTGAAATGATAGTCGTCACAGCTGTCAAATCTCATATGAATGGACATTTCTTCCCTTCTTTTTTCTATTTCTGCGGAGACAACCAGGGCTAATCTTTATCCTGAAGCTATACATTATAAATGCTGAACAGAATATGCAAAGCCCGAGCAGTGCACTTCTGTCATTTCACACAGACAAAGGCACTTTTCACCAGTATGACGGAGGGATTAATAATCATTTATTACTGTCAAAGTTCATCAGCTTCCTGTTTCATAGGGCGCCCATGCATCGCTAAATCGCACCAATCACATCTCGGGATCCATGTTTCACAAGTCATAATTCCTGGGAGGTTCAAACCACCCAATACAGAACTCTCATACATTGTCACGCCAACTGTAATCCGTTCATTAGGGAAACAATCTCAAAGTCTTTTTTGATAATTAATGGCATTTAAATGATGATGTGATGTACTGTATATATGGAGCAGCCTTCCTTATAGCATGTTAATGATCCACAGCATTCTGCTAATCAGTCAATTAATCACCATCTTATGAATTTAATCTCTTACTTAGGCCCTGTTCTACATAATGGGTTTTAAACATTCAAATCCATGCTTGGATTACAAATGAGGCTCATTCTGGTGCCATGCTCTTCTTGAACTGGGCTTCCATCAACAGCCTTTGATTTGAGATGTTAGCAGATGTAACATGTTATTTTTCTTCTTCAGCACACATGCCGCAGTGACAGAGCACAATGAGTCCATTGAAATGTTTCAAGGAGATACTAAAGCTCAGGGTTATATCCTTTATGGGTGTACATACAGTGTTCTTCAAGGGTGGTATTTTCTGATGAAAAATAACCTCTCCACAATGTTTGGATCTTATTCAAAAGGCTCAAAAGCCTATTTTGCTGTGGTGATTTCACACAGCGTGGCTGAAAACAAACTCATGTTTATTTATCACATACTTAAATCGCTCATATCAAGAGCTCAGTTTCTTGAAATGGGAGTAAAATAGTAAATAAATAAATAAAAAATAAATAAATAAAAAGAGTTTGATTTGGAAAAGTAAATAAAGGCTATTGGTGGAACTATTTGTAATACATTTCTGAATTTGACTTTTTAAAATGAGTCACAAATTTTTTATTAAAAACACTTTTGATGAGATATTTGAGATGGTGAAATTATTATTATTTTATTTCCAACCTTGGTACCACTTTCTAATATGGTACCCTTTATAAACAGGCTTTAGGTTGTAACTAATGGCTTAATAATTGATAACGTAGACAATGTTCGTTACAAAGAACAAGGTCTAGGTTTGTGAGAACTCCCTTTGACTGGTTAGAGAGTAAAAGTGCTGCAGACTATCTGGACAAATCTTTTGGAAAATATGCTTATTCGCTTTCTTGCCAAGAGTTAGATGAGAAGATCAATAGTCTCATGTCTGTGTGGTAAATATGTTGCTGGAGCCAGCAGCCAGTTAGCTTAGTTTAGCATAAAGACTTGCTCTAAGGCTAATACAATCTGCCAACTAGCACCTCACGAATTATTGACCAATTATAATTATATATTGTTGTTTTAATCTATAATGTTTTATATATGATTATGGGGAAGATGATTTTTTGGCTGGGAATGGTAACTTCCCGGAGTCTCAGATGGTTTCCTAGCAGCAGCTCCGACCCAAGAAATTGTCTAACACATTAACCTTCATAAAACACCAAGTTCTTGGATGAAGGATGGTTTTGTTGTGTTCAGAAAGAGCCAGGCTAGCTGTTTTCCCTTGTTCCCAGTCTTTATGCTAAGCTTAGCTAATCGGCTGCTGGTTACAATGACATATTTAGCATACAGATGTCAGAATGGTGTGAAAAAAAATTAACTAACATATTTTGCACAAATATCTTATTATCATTAACATTTATAACTGCAGACTTAATGGCTTATAAAGTGTCAGACCTATGATCAATGGATTACTAACATTTATAACTGCATTATTACCATATAGTAAAATATATAATATATAAATACCAACCCGATGACATTTCAGACAAGATGATGGCAACCCAAATTTGTTCTTACGTCTTATAATTGATCTCCATCCATTTTCTCTAACTGATTATCCTTAGAGGGTTGTGGGGAGCTGAAGCTGATTCCAGACAATATTATATAGATAATTGATCTATAAAGCATTTATAAATGACTTATTAACCCTTGATAAAGCCATTAGTTCCAGCAGAGGGTGCATTATTAGAAATCAGTACACTAATCTTAGTCAAAGAGGCACTTCACCGACTTTACACATCAACTTCAAATTGATTGTCATGGAGAGTACTATTCAGCCAATGAAAACAAAGTCTCCCTTGACTCTGAAAATAGCCCAGACCTCATCATCATTTTAGGCCTTTATTAGTTAGCGATAGTAGAGAAATTACAGGAAATGAAGGAGACATGCATCAAAGGCCCCCAGCTGGTTTATGGATGCTGTATTAACCCTTTTTATATGTCTCTTATAGGTCTTTATGGAAAAGCAACGCTAACTCACTGGAGTGCCCCTTTAAGATCGATTTTTAATGTTTGTACACACACTGAAGGCTTTCTAACAAACTAACAAGTCAGGTATAACCTGTGCTTTGTTTTGTGGAGAGTTAGACTAAGCTATTATATACTATTCATTCCTGTCCAGGTCTGTATGTCACCTAAAATTATCCTCATTGCACTTTTTGTGCCGGAGTGCCGGAACATTTTGGGATGGCTACATACTGCAGACACAGAAGTTTCATGGTCACTGGCTTTAGCCTAACAGGTTTGGTTATTGGAGCACTGCCAGTGAATGATACAGTCATATCTTGATTTGAAACGTACCTCAGCTGACAGAAACACTAATGTGATTTATTTGTGTTCTGCTTGAAGGATCCAGTGACAGGAGGAGCAGACAGAAATGAACAGAACAGAACAGAGCAACAGATAAATTCTAGTTCCTGCCGAAGCTCACTAAAGTCGACCTGAGTGAGACGTTTCTGCTCAATTAACACATTTCACTTTCTTTTACCCATCCTTGTTTTCTCTATATGCTAATATTTAGACATGCTGTGTTATTTATGCAAGAGGCCAATGCACAAGGTGTGCTCCTGCTGGCGAGTTAAGCTCTGCATCTGTATCGTTTTTTGGCTTCTTTTTTTTTTGGAAAGTCCTGTACTGGACTGTTGATGAGAGGCCTCCCTTGACCCAACTTGTCACACGCCTCGAGACACACATCGAGACACACATCAGCTGGAATACTAAACAGTTCAAAACAGAAACACCTTGAAACATCATTCAACAAAAATAGACTGTAATTGGAGAATGTAAATGGAGCTTGAAACAAAGCTCAAATAAAACATGAGGGATATTATCACTGCATTATAAAAATATACATGTTTTAGACATCCATCAAGGAGAAGAGGGTTTTGTTTGCATTTCCGACACTCCATGCCTAATAATCCTAATAAGAAATATACCACACAGTGCAATCATAATTTCCTTGTTTCAGTTTAGAAACTACAATACACCAGGCATGCTCAAAATTTGCAGGAAATTAACAATTAGCCATAATTTTTTTTCTCCATTTACCACAGAATAAGAAGAAAATGTAGTACAAAGTAATGCAAGAAAAAGCAAAAGAGGTACTGAGCAGTTAGCTACTATATGATACTTTAAAATTGGCTTCTACAATTTCTTGTAATAAATCCTCTATTAATTTAACTCCCAAAATTAAACTACTGGGTGCTATGGTCCTAAATATGCTGAATATAATAACATTACCACTGGAGCATATTGAGCCATGCATCCAGCTGTCTGTCACAGACAATAGAGAGGTAATGACATCCTGAAGCAGTCCCACTGTAACATACGCAATATGTTCTGCCCTATCAATAGTGAAACAGGCTATATTTGAGCCAAGCTGACACATTACTTGGCTCCTCATATGTGGAGGCCCGTTGGCAATGAAAACCGTGTTATATGGCCCAGTAGTGCTGACAGGTTTCTTTCTCCTTCTCTTCTGCCCTCCCCCTCTTCTCCTCTTTATTTCTCCCTTCTCTAGGCTGTGGAGAGGCTGGCACGTGGCAAGAGGAGGGGGGAAGGATGGATCTTCAGTAAGAGCCTCCCCCCAGGGAAGCCGGCGTCGGACGCAAGGCCTCATGGGCCGTTGACCTGCTGTCTCCGTGATTTATGGCGGCTGGGGGCCTCTGGCCACTGCAGACTCCCCTCCTCTCTTTCCTCCGTTTCCCTTCACACACACTGCAGGATTTCAAGGAGCCACACACACTGCACCACCGTCTAGAGGAGTATCCAAAGAGGAATTCCTCGCACATGCTGAGCTGCAGCACGGGCACGAATACATTCACTGCTTCCTACACTGTCTTATCCAAAACCAAACACCTACATAAACATTTCTACACTGCAGCACCGTGTCCCACAATCCCATCACATGTCCATTAGACCAAGCATGCTCTCAGAGTATTCTCCATTTGACTCTGTGGATTACTATCAGTCATGGTGTGTCAGCTGTAGAGCCCTTGGTGTAGCTGCTGCTCACGGGCAGAGGCGGATCAATGGAAGTGCGCTGAGTAACGAGGTGATGTTCCTGTTTCCACATGGTCTGAGAGCAATCAGCAGCCAGCATATCTCCGCTGACTCCACACACTGCTCTGCTTCTACATTGCAATAACCGTCCTCCTCTATGGACTATTAGTGCCGTGACTTATAGTATTATTTTAATATTAGACACACTAGCTGGACATTTGCTCCTGTGCACACCAGAGCTGTCAGAGGTATTCACATTCTGGACTATTTTTACTTTTGAAAGCTGGGGAGAGAGAGTGAGAGCCAGCAGGTGCCCTCGCCATGGTGTTGCCGCCCCCAGACAAACGCCACGTGTGCCTGACCACCATCGTCATCATGACCAGCATGGCCTTCATGGACGCCTACCTGGTGGAGCAGAACCAGGGTCCCAGAAAGATTGGTGTGTGTATTATAGTGCTGGTAGGGGATGTGTGCTTCCTCATAGTGCTGCGATATGTGGCAGTGTGGGTCGGTGCCGAGGTGCGCACCGCCCGACGAGGATACGCCATGATCCTCTGGTTTCTGTACATCTTTGTCCTGGAGATCAAGCTCTATTTTGTCTTCCAGAATTGCAAGGCAGACAGGAAGAGTTTGGAGACGGTGGCCCGGAAGGCTTTGACGTTATTATTATCTGTGTGTGTACCAGGCTTGTACTTGGTTCTAGTAGCTCTGGATAGTATGGAATATGTGAGAACTTTCCGGAAGAAGGAAGACATGAGGAGTCGTCTATTCTGGGTGGCTCTGGACCTGCTGGACCTCCTGGATATCCAAGCCAACCTGTGGGAGCCCCAGCGGACAGGCCTGCCTATCTGGGCAGAGGGCCTGATGTTCTTCTACTGCTATATCCTGCTGCTCATCCTGCCCTGCGTGTCACTGAGTGAAATCAGCATGCAGGGGGAGCACATGTCACCCCAGAAGATGATGCTGTACCCAGTTCTGAGCCTGGTCACCATAAACGTGGTCACCATCCTCATACGAGGTGTAAACATGGTGCTGTTTCAGGACAGCCGCGTTTCCACCATCTTTGTCGGAAAGAATGTGGTGGCCATCGCCACCAAGGCGTCCACCTTCCTGGAGTACCGCAGACAGGTGAAGGAGTTCCCCCACCCGCAGAACGCCATGGCGCTAGAGCTGCAGCAGAACTCTGTCAGCCACACGCAGCCGTTGCCCAACGCCACCAGTTTGCCACATGAACCTTCGCCGGCTCAGGACGTCATTGACACATGACCGCCAGCGCTGGAATGAGCACCATCAGAAACTGACTGCTTTTTATGAAAGCTCCAGGAGAGGAGGTAGATAGAGAAATCAGCTGCATGACAGGATGATATTCTGCTCTTGTCAAGCCCACATGAACTGCTGTGAAACCATAAAAGAGATTTTCAGCATCACCTGCCTGTCAGAACATACTGTAAACCTACACTTGACTCTGAGTGCAGCGTGCAGACTTTAGAAATCAAGTCAAAAGTTTTTATCGTGCTATTGTGTTTTTAATTGTTTCAAATGTTTTAAAAGTTCAAACTTTTATTAAGAGACAATCTCCACACTGCGCAGCCTGGTGACATTATGTTGTGTAAAATGGACAGCTGGTCACCCCCCACCCCACCCCACCCCCTCCGTGAGTATCTTGTATTTTTTAAAGGTCACTTTTTCGACAGTGTGGCATTTCCTTTGTATTCCAGCACCAAAGGACAAACCACTCAGTGTGAAGCACTGATGGAGGGGAGGAGTAGAGAGTGACACAGGTCAGTCATGGGGGGCTAACTGTGCTGTGCTAGAGTAAGGTTGGTGGCAGACGAATGCGTTCCCTTCGGTGTTTGGTTCTGCTGAGAAAAGAGCTCTGTGGAAGCTGCTGCCTTGGTCAGTGTGACGCTTTACGACCAAAGGTCTGATTAAAGCACCGGAGCTCAGCACTTACACCATCCACTGCAGCCATCCAAGCGTGTGTTTTACTCTTCGTATGTGTGTGTGTGTGTCCATGTGCACGCACACTAGTCTAGTACGTATGCCTGCAAGCATACGTGTTCACTACAGAAGGTCTAGGTTATTTCAGATTGTTTTGGAACAGATGTGAGTGTGTGATGTGTGTGTGTGTGATGAATTGCAAACAAGACTAAATATGTCAGGAAAAAAAAACAAATATATGATGGGGTTAAGATACTTTCTGTTTCCTGTACTGTACATTCCTTTAAAACTAGCTCAAGGCTTGAAGTCAGAGAATGCAGAGATCAGAGTCCAGAGAACACCTCACTGAAGAATTGACAAAAGATAAACATAAATACAATAACATACAAACAGAAAATACTTTTTCTGATGTTATTCAGTTTATTATAATTATTATTCTCATTATTATTATTATGATTAATATTATGTACATTCTTTACTTGTTGGAGGCCAATGATGTTTTAATAAAAGTATAAATAAAAGAATAATGATGAGAGCATGGTTTCTTTTTCCAAATTGTTCATTATGATTTAAGACATCTTATTTTCAGCTAAATTAAGGACTATGTGGTGCTCTTGGTGTACTCGAAAGCAACAGCTACACAACAGGAACACAACAGTAAGGCATTTCTGTTATGTTTTGCATGGAAGAATCCACATAGCACATAAATATTTAGGCTGAGCAGCCTCTTCCAGGAATCCGGCATTCATTTTCTACCCCTCAGGCTACCACATTTGGGGAAAGCAAGCAATGAATTTATCTTTTAAAATGTGATAAAAATGTATGAACCTTTTTTCAAATTGTTTCTCCCCTTTCCTCCCAGTCCTCTTTATCACCTTCCCACTTGCATTTCTGTTCTGTTAACACTAATCTCCTCTGCACCGACCTGGTATCAGTTATCAAATAGAACTTTTTACAGCTGATGAATTACCTTCAAGTCTCCACTGAGAATTTTATTAACTGACCCAAGTGTTTGTAGTGGGAGGCGGAGAGGTCAGCCCCATGAGGAAAGTCACTTTACTGTCGACAGGTTAATGAAGGTTAACTGCTGATCTCAGCTCATGGAGACACACTCTCAGACCCTGAACGGCCCCACTCCATTAACAATAACTGTCGGCTGCAGAGTGACAAAGAGACTGGACTATTACCAAAGGAGTGACATTTCTCTTTACTTTACATGAACATAATGTAGGACATTTTAAAAAAAGATCATTCTGATTTTATTCAGTTTTCAAAGTAGTGCAATGTTTTTTTTTTCAATTTCAACCATAGGAGCTGAATCCGACTGACTGGACTGCAAAGACCAGAATAAGCTTCAGTCATATTATAATTTACAAAGAAAGATATGACTGCTTTAATATTTGGTTTGCAAGCTATAATTAATTTAAGTTGTCCTCATTTGCAGGAGTACAACTACAGAACGAGGAAAGATATAAGTAGGTTTGCTCACTGTGCTGCCAAATGTCCTTAGTGAAGCAAAGAAAGCCATTGCAACAGATTCATTATATTTTTATTTATATTCAGGTTAAATTGTGCTTGGTTGGCAAATTGCTACAAGACCCAAGTTACAGCACATTTGCTTACGGACAAACTAGGAAGTTTTTTGCAAAATATGCAAAATACACAGCAAAGAAGAGTCACAAAACCTTGTTTAGGAAGAAACTAAATATAAACCCTGATGTGCTGATTTCATTCCCAGTGCCCACTATATTGCTGCTTCACGCTCATCAAATAACCAATCGTTTAACTGGGTGAGCAGGATCAGTTCGGGGCTTACAGTATCTGTACAAGCCCTTCTCTTGGAATCTCTTCTGTAGAAACATATTGATTGTTCTTGCTGTTGGAGTATTAAATATTTCTGAGGCGTATCTCCACAGGCACATCCAGTTCATTCTGGCTGTCTGTTTTCAGTCCAGTTCCTGTCTTACAGTAATTCTCCACCATAAGGCCTAATTATATTATGTAGCGTTATCACAGTGTAGTTTTGCTGCTATTTCCGGGGGGATTTTCATGCTGTTCAACCATGCTCATAGTTGTAAAGTTTATATGGCGCATTAAATATGTTATATGTTATTTAGATTTTATTTTATTTTATTTTATTTTAGTCATTTATTTATGCACTGTAGTGGAAAAGTGAATGTGAAAGGGCACAATAAAAGAGAAAGAGAAAGAGCTAGCATTGAATTCTGATTATCCAGGATCATTTGAGTTCATAGTTTTTATACCTATTGGTAAAATAGACATGGTACTCACCATATGAATTGCTGAGATCTGGGAACATGGAGACATTGCTAAAAAAAAAAAAAAAGAAGGCCAGAGCAAAAAAACATATGGTCAGACAATCATACAGGTTTTGAATAAACCTCCAAATAAAAGCAACAGTCAAACTTATTTGGAAAAGAAAACACGGGGCGAACAGTAAAATTATTTCAGATATTTCCCACCAGAAGTCCAACAGTGCAACGCCGAGCCAAGCATTGCCAATTTGTCCAGTGTGAAGCGTAAGTGTGCTGCACTGATTTCTGCAACAATTCTGCAACAAATTGAACATGTGGAATTCTGGCATTGTTGCATTGTCTGGCATAAGTTATGACGATGATAATTTTACTGTAGTGAAGAACTGAGAGTTAATTTACTCCATCTCGGAATTCCCATAATTATCAAACCCTGATCCTACCAGGACATGGCGAAAATCTCCAGCATGACAGAAAACATCAAAGAAGATGAGGATTCGAATTATTATTATTTTTTTGTTATTTTAATATTATTATCATTACTGTTTACATTCTATTTGGTGGACCATACCTATCCTCGTACATGCTTCCTGTGCAATCTGGGGTTATTATTGACATTTTGGTTTCACTCACTCACTTTTACCTTCAACTGAAGTGGTTCAAATAATCTATGTTTTTGTCTTGCTTGCAACCAATCTGATGATCTGCCCCATAAGATTTTGTTGTAAGAATTCTTATCATCAGATCTCAGGAATTACTTTTGGGAGTATTTCTCACAACCAATAGAAACAATGGAAGAAAACTACAAAGTAAGACCCCGATTTATTGAATCATCCTTGAAATGTGAAAAAAGCCTATGATCAGACTCAAACTCAAAACATCCCTGTTGCATCATTACATAATACACTGTTGGGCATCAGGGTTCAATTGGTTTCTGTTGTTTCATATTAATGCAAACATTGCATTGCACTGTTTACTGTCAATCATCCGTCACCCACAGGAAGACATATAACTCTCCCCCAAGTAAATAATCCCTCAAAATCTTGTCACTTACACATTTTATTGTCGCAGCCGCGTCTCTATATTTGGGGCATCCTTGTTAGCGAGGATAGCAGTTAATCTAGGTTTGACTCTGTGCAACATAAACAAGTAGATTAAAAAAAAAAATCTAATTACACACCTCATGCACCACAAAATGATTTGTCAAAAGTAAATAGGCTATAATTCTAAATGGTGAAATGACACATCTTTTAACTCTAACAGAGCCGCAGTATTGTGAGGTGACTAAGTGTCTGCTGATTTCGGAGCCTATGTTGACAGCTGAGAGTCTGGTTGACTCTCTACTGAAACTCACATTATTAAATCTCTCCTATGCTGTCAAACCAGTAGACTCAGCTATTTTTTTTTTTTTTTTTTCAAAGAATGGAAATGGAGAACCACATCCAAAATCTAATTAAAAATGTCTCCCTGTTTGAATAAGAGCCACAGAACCAGTCGTTGGTACTTTTTAGAACCTTTACGTCTGCCGCTGAAATCTTTGTTGTGGTCTGGAGCACAGCTCATTGTTAAGCTTACAGCATAATGCCACTATTGTTTGAATAAATCTTGTCAGCGCAAGTGGTTGAAGGCGGGAAGTAAATGGCAAACTTGGGGATAGAATAAATTACCTGTGGCTGCCTCTGCAACAGATCACCTTTCAGAGACCCCCTGAGCGAGGGATTCATCCATAAATCACCCGGCCTTCAAATGACGAATGTAATTGTGTTCTCTCCATATGTAATAAGTTGGTAAAAAGCGCTTTCTCTCTAGCTGCCTGTGATTTACTGTGTATCTATGACTTCCCAAAGCACTTAGTCTCAGCAAAATTAAATGAGAAACAATCAGATGAAGGTGGCATCTTCAGTTTCACAGACCCTCTTTTGACCACCTTTGGATTTGCTGACTTGTAGGAGTTTGTCCACTCAGTCGCTTCACTGGTTTCTCTCTCCGCTTCACCCTGGTTAGTAAAAGTCTCCGTTCTCACGCTGTAATCACTTTGTTGGCTACACACCCCTTCAACTGTACTACCCACGGCGCACAGTAATCTATATGGAAATAGCTCTTTGACTGTGCTTCTATCATAAAGCTGCAGCACATTTATTGTCCACTGGAAGCTTGGTCAACAAACAGTGACCTTCAGTCCTACCGAAAGGCGCTAAATGTTAGGGAGGCAGCTTCTGTTTTGGATGATGACATTTCGGCAGCCGTGTATTTGCATTTTCACAGCTCTCCACAACAGTTAGTGGAGTCTTACTCTCAGATTTGAAGTCTTTGAAAGATTTTAGGAACACTTCAGACAGAACGGAGAGGACCCCACATCAAACAGGAAGAAGAATGTTGCCGTGGAGTCAGTGATTTACTTGGAAACAACTTGAGTCCCATTATTTTAGCCTATATTTGTTTACATTTTTGGCAAATGAGCGCCATTAAAAGTATGCCGAATTAGCTATTAGCTAATCAGCTCTGTTTGCAGTGTTCCAACAGGTGTACAGACAACAATCACTGGATTACATAATAACTTTAAACTTAAAAAACTTAATGATTCTTTTGTAGTCTAATTATATTCATGTTTTATGTGAGCAACAATATTAATTGTGTCATCCACATTAAAGCTAAGGTAGAAGCAAAATAGTTTACACTCAAAAGTAGTTTGAGTTTTCAAATCTCACAGAATTACCAACTGTTGAATATTTATTAACTCACATTGCAAAAGAAAAACAAGAACAAACATTTCGGATAATGCATTCCCCTGCGTTCAATACATGAAGATTTGTGGCATTGTGTAAATTCCCAGTAAGCTGTAGCTTCACTCATTTCAACCTGAGCGGTGGTATAATCAGCAGGACTAATTGAAAACACCTGTGTGTGCAGGTAATTTCTTATAAACAGTTGTTTTTCCTTTTCTGTGTGGATATAAACAAACAGGTACACCGTGTTAACTGTGAGCTTTGCAAATGCTGCTAGTCATTTTTTTTTAACTCTGGAGACACCCAGGCTAGCTGTTACCCCCTGCTCTCTGTCTTCAATCTATGCTAGCTAAGCTAATTGCCAGGTGGCTCTTACTGTATACTTAACACACAGATATGAAAGCAGCAACAAGCTTCTCATCTATCTCTCTGTAAGAAAGAGAATTAGCATGTTTCCCACACTTTTAAAGTATTCCTCTAAAGCCTCCCTATGATGTAATTCCTCCACAAACCCCGCTGCACGCTGGT